CAGTCTCTCTTTCAGTCCATCAGTTTACAAATGTTCTTTCCATATGCTTTCTAGAGCTTTGTGCAGGCTGATTTACAATAAGCTAATGTCTTCAACTGGAAAATATTTCACAGAATTAAAATCCAGTCTGATCATACTGACACATGAATACAGAAATGAAACAACTGAGTACGAACAATCTTGATTCTCAAGTAAATTAGTAAATGCAGAATAAAAGGTTAATTACAAATTAGTAGAGGTAAAACAAATCTGGACCTTTAACCAAATCTCAGACCAGACCTGAGTAATATGAACGTTATAAATAAATAAATGTTGATTTTTTTTTTTTGGCTTAAAAGAAGTAACACAGATGAACTTGTAAGTCCTATTTTGGCTAGTACTGAATGTGTAAGTTCCAAATATCACAAAAAAGAGTGTAACAGCAGAATTCTACTTATCCAAAACCAAGAATTTCTTGAAGAAAACCCCTGTCTCATAAGACTTGAGGCCTGAACTTTATAGTTAAGAGGTTAGTTGGAGCACTTCAGAAAATCATCCAAAGCCAAAGTGATCACTGCCTCTTCCAGCCTTCCAGAGGTAGGCGTGTATGAACTAACCGTGTAGGATTATTGCTACGTTCTAAAACCAATAGTCAATCAGCTATGGTGATAGAGTGGCAGATACCTTTTCATCCTTCTATGGTACTTCACTTTAAAAATATCCCTTTAAAATGATGCCTTGAATACAAACTCATGAGTTCTACAGATAGGTTACAGAAAGAGCCTAGACAGAGTAAATCAAATTGAAAGCCTTAAAAAGAAAAGAGCTAAAGGTAGATAGGGTGTAGGGAACCAGCTGCTGGTCTCAAAAGTATTAAGAAAAATGACTAAAAGACAGTATCATTAATCCTCAAGCTATATACCATTTCAGTTTGTAACTGATGAAAAAATTGTCAAACAAACAAAAAAGCATAAAACTTCCCCTGCTTATATATATAAAATTATATATTCTTTTCTAATCTAAAGTGTCATCTATAGACTTTTTATAATACTGTAATAAAAGGCCACATTTTTTTCCTTCTTCACCCAACTACACGTTACATCTAGCTTTTATCTCCAGTATTTGTATCCAGTATTTTGTCATTATAAACTACTTTATCTGTTCGTCATGATACTAGTTTGTCACTAGTTTACTTTATGAAATTACCTGAATATAACTTCTTTCAAGTATATGCTTTCATTAGTTATTTCTTAGTGAACTAGTAAGTTTCACAATGTTTTAGTGAAATATGTCCTATACAATATTGCAGATATTTTTCAGTGTGACCGACACAAGGCTTGGTGATGAAGCAATTAATAAGAGTTAACCTTCATTATAAATTTGTCTACTTGGCTTTTTAAAAGCATTTCTCATCTTCAGAAAGCATAAACTTGACTCTGTTAAATCTCACAAAACCTCTGTCAGGTAGTTACTAGTCTATTAATACTAAAAAAAATATGCCAACTGCTCTACAGAGAAAATAAGTTATGTTGTTACCTACTTCTACAGAAATCAGCAGAACATTGGCTAATATGTAAATATTATAAATAAAACAGCTGTTTAGCAGTAAACTATAGAGCAGATCTCATTGCTGAAAAATCTGAAATTCAAGACAAGGATTGTTACCTTTTCTGGTAACTTCTTAATTTTTTTTGCACTAGGTCATAATTGTGCCAAAGTCATTACCCTACTTGTCATTAAATGCGTATGTTTGGTCTCGGTCAGATTTTGTAAGATACATTGGTATGCATTTTCGTATATATGCAACAGTGAGTACTGTTGTTTATTTAACAGGTGAAACTTGAATCGAAGATTGTAATAAAATTCCTGCTTTGTGTTCTATGAGACTTTAGAAGTCTCATTACAGGAATATATTACAAAGCAGAGATTATAAATTAAATTTAAAATTTAAAATTCCCCATGGACTTTTGTAACAAAACTAGTTAAATTTAACCAGCGATAATTGCATACTGCCTACAAACTACTTCTGTTTCCAAACTCTGTAGTAAGTGTCTCATCTAAGAGAGAAGTAAGCTGCTTTATTGTGCAAAATGATTCCTATATAGTTCATGAGTCCTTTGGGGACTTTATTGGCTGAAAAGCAAAATGAAATGTGAGACCAAACTTGCTGGTGTGTTGGTTGTTTCTCTTCTTTAGTAAGTGGAGTTTGTAGAAATAATTTTTATGCATACATTCTAGCTGCTTCGATAGTTACAATTCTATAAGCAAGGCTCTCCTTAGTAGTAAAGCGATGTAGTGCAATCCCCAAAACATACATAATGATATGTTACTTTTAACTTCCCACCCAAATGTTTAATAATCATATAGAAGCATGTTATTCCACAGACATAGTTCATGAGGCAACATGTATAAACTTACATATAAATGCTACGAAACAGATTCCATGTATTTCTCTATTTTGGAGAATGTTAAAAAGTATACACATTTGCTATTTTAAGAGCTGAAACTACATCTTTCAACAAAATTTAGCTGCTTTCATTTTGTACATGCATTTAATTTTATCTAGAAACTTTCTGACATTAGGAATAGAACAACTGTAGTTTCTCATTATGTTTGCTGCCAGAATCTATGCTTGGTTGCTCAACTAAAGACCTTATATTGCTAATTACTACCACATGCCCATATCCCAAGCAAAAGAAAACTTATTGGTTCTGACAATCCATTCTCTCAACACTGAATTCCAAATGAAAACTTAAATTTTGGCCAAACATAACATTTCATCAATCTTGTTCTACTGACTGCAAAAGCAACATCAAACAAGGGGTGCTAATGGCTTTTTACTGTGCAGTTCCCAAGCTTAGATTCTCTGATGAAAGACCCACATGAGCAAAGGACATCTTTAAACTACTTAGTAATTAATAATTGAACCAGAAAACAATGCAAAACGTAAATTGAAGTTTGTATGCTGATGACAGAGCTGAGTTTCAAACGACAAGTTATATGGGCGGTAGAGATCAGCAGAGAAAGCACTGGCAACAGAGTGAGTTAAAACCAAACAGATAGTGCATATAAATAAAGACAAAAAGAAAAGGTGAAAAAATAAAATTAAGCACGCCCCAAAGCTAGCAGAAGCCTGTAATCTGGAGTTGAGGTTTTCAGGATGTGGGGTTCTGACTGAAGATCAGGTCCAAGTTTAGAGACATCTGAGCAATGCTGGGTACTAGTGACAACATAGAAAGGGGGAGACTAAAACTCTGTATGTAAAATATTTTTTAACCATATTCCCCCCTGCTATAACTCCTTCAGAGCGTCAAAAACAGAGGTGTAAGGTCTGTGTTTGAAAAACTTCTCTCTTTGAGAAACCAAGTACAAATAGGATACTGAGTAGGCCTCTGTCACAAATAAACATTTTGGGAAATTAATGATACTACTCTATCTCAGAAATAAATTAAGGCATTTTGTTAATCTGCATAAGTGAATTATGATGCAAGTTCCCAACATTAGTGTTTACAGTAAAAAAAAAATTTAGACATTTGAGGGTATCTCAAAAAATGAAAGTATTAATGTTTTCAATTGTGTCATGTAATTGCTTGAGTATTATTGAACGTACAATAGTAATAGTATAACTAAAGAAAAAACTTTGATTTATCTACCCAGTGATGTAAAACAGTACTCTAGAATTAGCTCTGTGGGACATTTACAGTCTTTCTGCTCCACAGAGAGGAGAAACAACTTGATAAAACCATAATCCACATTTATAAAATGGTGCACAGGTGATGGTTTGAAAGGAATAAAGTCAAAAACGTATCTTCTTGAAGTAAGGAGAGGGACAATTAATTAGATGTGTTGCTTGCAGTACCTTCATTATGTTATATGGAAAGGATTCTATATGACTAGTTTTTTAGGGCAAGCATGTCTCTACCCGTGAATATCACAATGATATGTAATGAAACAAAAGATGGCAACACTAAAGGTGATAACAGAGGAGAAACTACTATACTGCCAAGTACATCTAGTTCATTAAAGGCTATGTCCCAGCAGGTCTAGATGCTGGGAATGCCAGAAAGAGCTGGTTTTAACTTGGTCAAGAAAACAAGCAGGCTTTCAATAGAAATGTAATGAACTAATGTGATCCAATACAATTTAGCTTTTGCTACCTGGTAAAAATAGTATTTTTTCCATACTATATTGATACTAAGGCTACTACTTGCTCTTCTTAGGATAGGTTTTATACCGTGTGTGGAAGAGAATCACTTTAAAATCGCTGGTCATAGATCCTAAAATCACGACTGTTTGCAATATTCATATGAAGTCAATAGGAGCTGCATGAGATCTGAATCTGCTCTTTGAACAATGAGAAACAGCACTATCAGACTTCTGACATAGTCAGTCTAATGGAATAACCCGATCAACATAAGTCTCATATTTTGCACTCCAGTAAACCCCAGTTTTCTAAAGAACTGAGTTGTTTGAAAATCATGTGAATTATCATTGTCACTTAGTTAAGAGATGACCACATGATAATCTGATACCCAAAACCGTGAAGTGACAAGTCAACCTTGTTCCAGAAGCTAACTGCATAAGCAATAGCAGCATTTTTTACAAGGTATGTCAGTGTAGTCTTAATGGTATTCAGGTTCTCTTGAAGTAGGGACAAAATGTTGTGACTTGTACCATAGCATAGCCCAGGTCTCTAATTATAGTGTGACAACTCTCCAGCGGTAATATCTGATGTCAAGGAATGCAGCCTTATAAGCTGTGCGTCAGCTATTACCACCTTCAGGGGCTCTTTTGAGTCACACAACCACACCTGGTCTTTTTTGACTTACTTTCTGCCTCGGGTTGAGTTAAAAGTCCCGCCGTATTTCTTCCGATTAAGGATGAGAGCAGCAATTTCTGGCACGTAGCGAGCAAACATTGCCTACATGCATGAAACAAAAACACAAAAAAAAAAAAAAGAAAATGGCATGCAGAGAGTGTTCTACTGCAGCAGAGGCAGCAGAGCCTCTTGGGATACTTACTTTCTTCCACTAACCGCACTATAGGAACCACCATATTTCTTGCGGTTTCCTATTAACTCTATGATTTCAGGGACGTAGCTGGCAAACATGGCCTAAGAAGAAGATAGGAGACAGAAGAAAAGACTAAAAAGAGAGGCCAAAGAAAGGGGGATGATGAATATTTTCAGAAGATATATATCTTTAAGATCTGAAAATGCAAAAGAATTAGATCTATGAAGTTGTTTAAAAAGAAAATATAAAAAATGTAGAAGTTCTTATCAAACAAAACAAGAGAGCTCAATGTAAAAGTTAGTCTTGGAGAAGGTGCACACCTTATAAATTAAGAAAATGGTCAAAAGAGGAAAAATAGGCACACAAAACAAAACAAGAACAAAATTAATTCCAACTGGTATCTAATCATAAAATACAGTTATGTCTAATTCTTTCTGAAGAGGGGAGGGGAAAAAAAACTATCCAAGCTCCACTGCAAAAAAAACCCCAAGCATTATCATTACTGTTACATTTCTATTTCAAAAGATGGACTTTTTCCCCCATGATTAGGCTTCAAAAGAAGACAAAACCAAGATGGAATCAGGGGTTATTCCCTCTGTCAAGAAACAAAAAGGTCACCCCCCCGCCCCAAAAAAAAACTTTTCCAAAAATTTATGTTTTTAAAAGGATTGGAATAACACGTGATAGAAAAAAGGTTTTGAGGAGAAAATAAAAATTATTCTGCCATGTTTTGTCCAACAAACATCTTCCTTGTGGCCGGATACTTTGAAGAGCTACTGCCAGTTGACATGGTCTTTGTCTTCATATGTCAATAAACATAAACGGGAATGCATATATTTATGCTCATACATATACTCATATATATGTATCTGTATGTGCCTCATATATGGCATTCATTACATTAGTTATATACATATCACCTCTGAAAGACGTATGTATATGTGAAATCAATATATGAGAATAAAGTAACAATATACATATGTATGTATCTGCACAATATATATAGTAAGTCATCCATAAAGCACTTACCTTGCACAGTGTAAAGATTAAAATAAACCTTGCTGGTTTAGAGAATGACATTGCAACAGGTCCTATAATATGACTAACACTAATAAGTAATAGAAAAGTTGACAGAAGACAATTAGTAACTTTGGTGCTATGTACATACAGGACAAAGAACACGAGAATTTGCTGATATAAAAGGATACTGGTTACGGCCATGTGATAAATTGTGAGTTAAAATTGTGCTACATGACATGAAAGGATGTTTGAAATTAAAAAGAATGTGGTTTGCCATCATCTGGATCAGGCAAGCTGCTCTTTAAGGCAGTCCAAAGCCACAGTGTTTGTTGGAATTCTGGGAAGGAACACAGAAGGGTGGGTAGGACTTCTGAAACCGCAAAGTGCCTTTAAGTATCTATAGCAGCCTCAAAAAAATGCACTACAGTCAGTCACTAAAAAGTAAAGGACTAAAAATAACATTGTAAGTTGAAATATTAAGGCACTTCATGTATTCACATGCATTACTCATTTAAATAGATTAGAAAAATTCTGACTCTACTAAACTGGACTAATTTGACAAGCTCTGCCAAAATATTTCTCTATAGAAAAAAAGTGGGGTGTTTTAAACATATTTAAAAGTTTTATAATTAATTTTAAGTCACTAAACCAGATATAATAATATCTTTAATTACAGCATTGAGATATACAGGATCAAGTATTAAGGTAGCTGGGATAATAATAATAATAAAAAAGAGTTTTTACCAATCCCCCAAGGATGAAGAAGACCATGAAAAGGCGACCAAGGGTTGTTTTTGCATAAACATCTCCATAGCCAACAGTGGACATTGTAACCATCAGTAAATAAACACATTCCCAATATGTTAGCGGTTGATTATTTTGGAAATTTTCCCATGGATCCCCTGAGTTCTCCACCTAAAATGTACAAGAAAACATATAATGAATTAATAGAGTTGTACCACAGATTAACTCTACTGATGTGTGTGTGTGTGTGTGCTTGTGTGTGTATATATATATAATTTGGCATATAATATAAACTCTGGATCCTTTCCTATGGTTTATTTTGAACAAATACAGAACATAACCCTGTCCCAATTATAGCATTACAGTTCTTTTGCCAATATGCATAGCCTTGCCACTCATACTATTTATTGAAAGTATCTTTTCCATTCACCACTAAATAATACAACATTAATGCAGCTAGGTAAGTTCATTTTATAGCAATTTGTTCAGAACTTTTTCAGCGTGAACCTTACTTCTAGTGCAATTATACTTCTTAACGTTTTTGTTTTAAAGCATTATGTAGCTATTAAAGGCATTAGTGACATGTTAAGTTTAGTGATACACTATTAATTTTCCAAGAAGCCAGCTACTGTATGTGTCAAAGTTATAAATCTATCAGTGGGAAAGGAGCATGCCCTTTAAAATTTGTTCCACAGTAAAAAGTTTGAAGTTTGAGGATTCCTACAGTAGAAGAAAGGAGCATGCCCTTTAAAATTTGTTCCAAAGTAAAAAGTTTGAAGTTTGAGGATTCCTACAGTAGAATAGGGAAACTTATGCTGAAAAGCAAAAAAAACCCAAAACAAAAAAAACCCAAACCACAAAATCCAAGTCGTAGAAAATAGCATTCCTTCCCTCCTGATGTAATTTTAAAAAGCTTTTTTTTTTCTCATTCAAAAATAGAAAAGGCTAATGTTTCTATGATAAAAATTTGCCCAGAGGAGTGTAAAAATGTGGTCATCTGTGAATGAGAAGTATGTGACAAACGAAAACATCCAAAATTTCAGTCCATCTTTATGAGAGTGAAAACTAAATTACTATCTGGTATAACAAGAAGATAAACATTCTGAATTTAATCTTATATAGCTGGATACAGCTCAAGGTAATTCAAGTGAAGTTAATTATATTGCTCTGGACTAACATCAATATCATTAAATTACAATATTAGTCCAAAACCATTCCTGAATAACTTATTCCTACTAGCACCTTGAAATTTTCCTGTTTCTAAGTTGATCATAAAATGTACTTAATGTACTAAAGGACAAACACTTAACCATATTTAATTATTTTTACCAAACAAATCAGTAAAAGCTCTTAGTTTAAAATGTTTAAAATCACAATTGACATATACCTATCACATAGACGCATATTCACATTTATGAACTCATATGTGCTTCTATACTAACTATCTTACATTTTTCAGGAATTGTTAAGTGCGGAATAAAAATCTATTACAAAAATCTACGTTACCAGTGACTGAAAGCTACACCAAGAAATTTGAAATTTAAAAACAAAAGAGAAGGAAATAATCTCTAAAAAATTGCTACCCGGAATGTTAGCAATCCCATCACTTCTCGTGGAAATACAGAACTGCTTTCTTCTGGCACAACCATTGATTTCCCAGGACCTCAGTGTCATTTCAGCTCTGCCAACCCCTTCCAGGAAGCACTCGGGTAGTTATTTAGGAAACATTGCCACCTACTGGCAAATTGTAATCAGTCAAGAAGTTGCATCAGTTCAGATCTCATATTTTATGGCTGAGGTTAATGATGTATTCCTTACTCTTCAGAATTAGTTTTGAGTAGAAGCCTGAAATTTGGGAAGCTGTGATGTCTTTTTTTATTGTACTCTATAGATGTGTCCAGGGATTATCCAGAGCAAGGTAACTTCAGGTAATAAAGTAGCTCAGAGAGCAGATGATCCATGAGAAAAAGTCAATGAAGTCTTTTCAAATATACTTACCAAATGTATGAACCCAGCTGCTGTCAGCCACGTGCTGATAAATATAGAGCACAGATTCACCAGCTTGATGGAATTACTGAAAATAAACAAAACCCAACAACAAATAGGAACTTAGACTGGAATTTATCACACATTTTTAATATGTACCTGTATACAACTGCGTACTTTAGCCTGAAAGAGTCTGATGATGCTTTCTGAAGAGATGCAGGCTCCCTAAAAAACTTAATCAAAAGCCTATGCAAAATGTGTATTATTTTGTCTTTGCAGAGTTCACATTTGCATAATTTAGATAGCTTGACAGAAAAATTCCAATGCATTTGAGAGCAGAAAGACAAATGGAATCCTTAGCTACATCTGTACTCATAATGAAACAAATCGAAATAAATAATGCTTTTTCACAAATAATATGGTTGCCTCTCAGTACACTCACTTCATTTTTCATTGCTATACACCTCAGCAATTATTTACGTGTAAATGTTCTGTTACCCTGGAATACATCCATGCAGGTCCAATGAATTAAGCTGAGCAATGCCAATTAACGTTAGCTGCTGAACACTGCATTTATACATACAATTGACTGATTTTTTTTTAATTATTTCATTTTTCGTTAGCTTGTATGCTTCTTCTATATTCATTGTGCTTTCGACCCCAGACCTGTGGCAGCTTCAAAAATTAACAGCAAGAGGATGTTTTTGTTGCGTACTCACCACATGTTAACACTTGCATACGTGACCACAGGGCAAGACTATTTCTCTACAGTTACAGCAAACAATTAATGAACTATTGCCGCAATCTGTAAATGTCATGCTGCTTTTGTGAAAAAATTATGATTCCCAAAATTAAATAACTTCGGTATTTTACACTTCCTGTGTAAAGTCCCAAGTAATTTTCATATTATTCTGCGTGCATGAACTCCTACGGACTTCTTTGTGGAAATTCATACAGAGCTAGAGTATTTCATACTTCACATTTTTCTAAAAAAGAAAAATAAAATTTAAAAAAAGATTGAAACCTACCAGTCAAACTCTACAAACTCTTTTTAGTCCCACTGAGTAGGATGTTCCCTATTGTAGCCAGAAGTGAATTTGAAGCAAGGACCTCACTCAGTTCAGCAGGAAAATACCATACTTAAAAGTTTGTGGAAGACATATAAGTAAAGCTCACTCCCTCTCTTCTTACAAAAATCACTATGCTTTCAAAAGCTAAGAAGGATATTCAACAAATACACAAGGAACTGAAGTTCATGTTTTACTATGTCTAAATAATCCTACCCATTCATGGAACTGTATTGGAAATAGCTCTCCTTTGTTTTTTAAAACATTTCTAAGAAAGAATAATGCCTCAGAAAACTCACTATTATTCCTAAAGCAATACATTCCAATAGAATGAAAATCGGGAAAAATTCACTATCAGTGTTAGCCGTAGTAGTTTTGCAGTAGAATTAATTAATATTTCTGTTCATAACTACTTTAAGGACAATAAAAATGCATTATTTTCTAAACAAAGTTGAGAAATGAACCTGGAAAATTAATCAGACCGGCTCCATTAAAAATATTTTTAAGAGTTACAGTTAGTGAAGTGGGCAACTGTGGGTACTAGGAAAGAAATACAAAAATACTCAAAAATAAGATACTATACCAGCAGTTCTGCAATTAATTAGCGTTCACCTACATCAACACATATTCCTTATTTCTCTCTTTCTTAAAGTACGGTTGATTAAGGTTCATATTTTGTCGGTGATAAAATTCAGTCATAGCACAGGACCCTAAACAACAGGTTCCTAGATTAAACAAAATAATAGAAATCTTGTTGATGCAAAGCTCTGTTACAAAAGGCTAAATATCATCCTTCACCTGAACTTAGAACAGGAGTGGCTCCTGATACAATAATGCGTCAGTTGGTCTCCACATAATACTGTAATACAAGTAAATGACATCAGTCATTAAAAATAACTATTTACATGACTTGTTTGGTACATTTTGTTTTTGCAGATTTATTAAACATTGTACCTTATCTCTCCTCTATGAAATATTCCTGTGTTTCTGCCAGAGTCTAAATATAGACGAAGGATTAGTCACGAACATTTTCCTGCTCTTTAAGCTCTTTCCAACATCTGTGCAAAATCCCTTACTGTGAGCCCTGCCTAAGCCTCTGTAGTTTTGTTGAAAAATATTAGAAAACAGTGAAGTGAAGGGGAGAAATTTTCAGCTGAACACCACACAATTCATTCGATTTCATAAAACACAGGAACAAAAAATATTGAGTAAAATACATATAATTTCAAATTAGGGAAACAAATAGATCCTTGGCAGAGAACAGTCTTCTAATGTGCCGCAGTAAAATTTTGCTTTGCCTTACTGGTCCTTTTCAAATATAATTAATAATTTTTCAGATATTCTAATAATTATCTAACACCCCCACACTATTTTGCTAGTCTTCTCACTGCCTCTATTTTTGCATGGTTTAGCTTCTTCCTTTGGATTCCAGTGTTTGGAATGGCCCTTCTGCCCATTGTGTAAATAATATATGCTCCTTTAATCCTCATACCTCAGTCACTAATTCCAAGAATAATTTTAATTTATAGGTTAGAGTAAACCTTTTTCTTTACTGGTGGAAAGAGGAAAAGGGGGACAGAATTTCCTCTCTAATTGCATCAAATATTAAAAACACAGCAGTGCCCTTTATACCCTATCTGTTTCTTCTCTTGTCGGTAGTTACTTGTTATTAATGCCAAACACAGTGAAATGCCTCTAGTCAAAAACAGTCATATAAGGAAGCTCTGCTTTACAGGCTTTCTAATAATCAACATTTGGGCTTTACAGATATTTGGACATTCATATAAATAATCACAGAGATGATGATATCTAATCTAAGAGTAAATTTTGCACGAGAGAAATGCTATTTAAATGAACACGTCAATCTTGAAAAAGCCAGCTCTAAATACACTGAACGTGATAAATGCAGTGTCTCTTCACTTATGGATCTGGAAGTTTACAAATCCACCACTCCCGAAGGGGTTTTTAGCCTTTATCCAAAGTCCTTTGAGTTTATGGGGCTTTTCCATTGACTGCCATTTCTTTTGGCGAGGTTGATCCGTGTGTTAAATGCAAACTCATTGGATATTCTGAGCTCCTGCACAAATTACTCTCCTTTACCATACTGGTAGCATTCTAAGCTACTGGACTACATCTTCACTGCACATTCTTTGATTTCTTTATTTGACAAGAACTGGAGTCCTTACAGTCACACAGCTAAAGACAGACAGCATGAGAGTTTTACAGCAAAGAGAATAGTTTCAAGGTTAAGGGTTGAAGAAACAGCTGTTTACCATAAGTGTGTACAAATCTTAAGGATCTATTTCCCCACCGCTACTAATTAACATAGCAAGTAAATGGAGTTACTTGCATATAAAGCCTTCACACATGCATCATCAACTGGTGGAGAGAGCATAGGATTTCAGAATAGAACTGAGTTTACAGTAATTGTTGGAAGCTGGATCCAATACTTCAGCTGGGGCATTTTAGGGAATGATGCAAGGCAATCTGTCTTCAACTCCAAGGCATGGGAAGGTTCCTTTTTTTTTTTTTTTTCCCCTTCAAAGTGATCTTTTGTTCAAAGTTGTGCTTATGCTGCACAACTTTTATGTCTTAATAGCCTGAAGAATCAGTGAAAGCCAGAAGGTTACTTGGAATATTTTAAATATTCTTTAAAAGAAATGCTAATGACAATGAACACAATATAAAGATAGCTGAGTGTAAAATTAATTTTTAATATGTTTTTGATGTGAGGAAGGATGCTCAGTTCAAAAAAATTGAAATAGAGCCACAACGATTATTTCTCAAAATACTTTTTAGCTGTATTCTGTTGAATGAATTGTGACTTCTGTTTTTCCAAGGCAGCGGAATATGGACTGATTATGTGGAAAGAAGCAATATTTAATCAGTGCAGAGCTCTGTAATTCATTCTGCTTTTAATTTATCAGCACTCAGTCTTGCTCAGATATTTCAAATGTAACAACACATCAAGTAAAATCTTCTACTGATCACATGGCAAAAGGTGCTGACACTGGTAAATCTTTCATCAGCAGAAAAAGGTTTAAAGAACAGATAACAAGTGGTTTTTTCCAGAAAAGAAAATCATATATTACTAGGACCACAAACCTAAGCCATTTATGTTCTGCCACCAATGCAACTAACTCAGTATGTAAGAAAAGGTCTTACCTTGTTTTAAGGATATTCAGAAACTGCAAAATTTCTGAAAACTGTATCAGTCTAAGGGCTCTTAAAAATCTTAAACCTGCAGTAAAGAAAAAAAAAAACCCTCTAGTAAAGAATAATTCAAATTATAACAACATTTCACTTACAATGACAGTGATCAATGAAATCAACGTCGGTAGCATACAAAATGTCAAATACCTTTGAAATGTTCTTCCATATTTAATGGTTCCAAGATCCTTACCAGGTCTTTTTCAAATTGTTTTAAACTTATTTCCTTAATAGCTGAAGTATCCTACCAGAAAGCCTTAGTTTATGTACGAAGCCATGGGAGGAGACATACAGGCTGAAAGCTAAGGGGAAAAAACCTCACTGAGGTTCTGTTGGTAGTTCTAGTGCACATGTCCTTCTCTTCCAGGCTGTCAAAGACACATATAGATCTGAAACTCCTCAGTCCTCCAAGCTCCCACGTTGCTTAGTGAAAAATAAGAGATTATGGGCAAGAGATCTGATAACCTGGACGAAGTAGATGCATATATGCCTGATTAAATTGGTAAATCTTAATGACGTAAAATCTTTTATTGTAATAATGCTCCCTATCTCCACCCTAATTTCCAGGCTGTCAAAGACACATATAGATCTGAAACTCCTCAGTCCTCCAAGCTCCCACGTTGCTTAGTGAAAAATAAGAGATTATGGGCAAGAGATCTGATAACCTGGACGAAGTAGATGCATATCTGCCTGATTAAATTGGTAAATCTTAATGACGTAAAATCTTTTATTGTAATAATGCTCCCTATCTCCACCCTAATTTCCAAGAAATCAAGCAGGAGAACAGAGGAACGACGCATTCTCTCTCAAAAATGACAAATCTACTGTAATTCTTTCCATCAGACTACAACTATAGGAATAGATTACACTTTGTAAAAATAGTTACTTCTTTAATAGTCAAAGAAATAGCATTTTTGTGTTGAAATCAGGTTGCATGAATAGCAATTCCCAGACAACTGCAAAGCCAGCGAGACATACACAGAGAGAGTGTGCACAAAAGAAAGTACTATAGAAGATTAAGGGCTTAAATTATAAGAGATGTATGCTGATAGTAAATAATTTGGCTGCAGATCTTTGGCATATGAATAAAAAGTACATTGTGTATTATACACATGCACAGCTTATAAAATTAAAATAAGGCTTTGAGGATAATTTTTATCAGACAGTCCAGCTAAGAGTTACGTAAAAGTTGTGTAACATGGTATTGCAACTGTTACAGTTAGGTCCAGGGCAGCTTCTTCTCATACTTCCTCTTTATTGACATTTACTTTACCCCCTTCCAGTGCTAGAAACCACTTTTTATTTCTAGAAACTTAAGGAAGGACTGGTTCTGGCAAACATATAAACCTGGTCACAACCTTCATCATCTCAGTGGAGTTGAGAGCAAAGATGCATGTGGTGAGATGTGTTTAAATCAAGGCTTTATTTCTGCAGTATTCTTGAAAGTTGTTAAATAAAATTTTTACTCTTGTTAAGGCTCATAAATAGCCTTAAAGTAGAAAATCACTCCCGTCTGTGCGTTACATGGATATAAAGTTTCTTTTTAATTACTGACTGTGGGGAACCCTGAAGATTAATCACAACTTGAAAACTGGATTTGGGGATCTAGACAAAAAGCGATAAAATAATGCTTAATAATTATAAACTTCAGATCCATTTGTAATTAGAGGATGATCATTTTGGATCCTAGTGCTGAAACTGAGAGACGTGTCCCTCTGCTCCACTTGCAGTAGATCCCACAGTTGCTACTTCTATCCAAGGAGACATGGCTGGACAGGGATGGAGAGGACCTTTACCAGCAACCCTAAAGTTCCTCAGCTCTGTTCCATCCAGCTATCTCCCTCACTCCACTCCCTAGGAACTTTTTGAAAAATGGCTGGTGGGAGAAAAATCCTTCCTTTCAAATGCTTTGCATTGCATCTGAAGTTAATAAGACAGCCAAGTTACCCACTGCAATGTGTCAAAAAGAAGCCTGAGAAACATGAATGTTAGCAATAAAACCTCTATCTCCAAACTCTAACAATGCTTAAAATATATTTTAGTTGCTGAGACTCAAATGAGAGAACAAAAAGACTATGGCTTCAATGTATTTTTTGTGGAAGAAAATCATTATGGATTAAGTTCTGCATTTGCTACAGCCTACACTATTTTAAAGAATTCCCTTCAGAGAATAGAATTAAAAAAAAAAAAAGTGGAGAGTTTGCTTGAAAAGTTTACTTGAACTACAAATGGAACTGGCTTGTAATTGTAAAAGGTTACAATCAGCTTGTCACCTCTGTATCTTGCCTAGGACATTACCTGTGGGGCTGTGTTTTATAGCTAAAGGGATTATTACCCAGAAAGGATCAAATTTTGATCCTTTATATTGTACTGAGGTAATGCACAGAAACCTCAGTGTATTACCTGCCTTGTGTGGTTCAAATACGAAGAATAAAAATGAAATGAAAATAACAGTTTTCCTTATCATGATGGCAAATGAATTCTTTCCAGTATTCTACTCTTTTCAAGACCCAAACGATTCCATTTTTAGGTTCCTACACACATGTCATTTTATATGTTTGTCTGTACTTCCTGTCTTGCAAATAATCTGAGTCCCATCATCCTAGCAAGAAAGTGGTATTTAATAAGAATCTGTACCTATGTTGATAGTATCAAGATATAACAAGGCATAAGCCCTATTAAAAGGCACCAAGCAAAGGCAGATTCTCTAGATGAGATCTTGAAAACTTCATAGACAAACTACTGTGATCCTGTATGACACTACCTCTTCGTATTTTATAGACATGTTTATCTTTAATTAGCTTTTGTAGAAACATCAGTCATGTTAGAAATATGGGATTTTTGTATTT